GTGAGGTTTCCTTTTTATAGGTTGGTAAATTTCGTCTTTCTCGATGTGTCTACTGATTGATGATTTACTGGAATGCCAGGCTGGCTTCTAAAAAATTCTCTAGCATTCTTGTTGTTTCCTCTGTCCCCTTCGTCTTCGTATCCACGAACATAGGCTAGCCGTCAAAAGACGTGATACCCACTCCCTCATATCACTGCATACAGACAAACACGGACATCAATTCGACTGGGACAACCAACGTTCAAATATTAGACAGAGGAAATAACAAGAATGCTAGAGAATTTTTAGAAGCCAGCCTGGCATTCCAGTGAATCATCAATCGATAGACACATCGAGATAGACAAAATTTATCAACCGATAAGAAAGAAACCTCACACACACAAAGGGTCAAAGTTCAAGTAAAAAAAACAATCAGTTCCAATAGAAGCAGCCTAGAGGGTGTGGAAACACACAAAAGCAACCAATCACGTCCAAGGTCACCAGGAGAGATGATTAATGAATTCGAGGAGAAATCTAAAAGCTCACTTCAAATTGAAGTATGCCCTGAAGATATCGCCTAGTAGGCCGATGGAAGCTTCGCAAATTATCAGTCTAGCTCAGAGAACACAACCGCATCAAAAACGTATCAAATTAGTATAAAAGTTAAAAGGAAGGTTTGAGACTACAGTGGTGAAAGGGATTGAACAGACTGCTTCTGTATACTCATTTCGGTGAAAACCCATCGAGCAACTTGACCTTACTTCATATATATTCACTCCGAAAGATTTCTATATTGGTGGAGAACGGTGTAACACGGTATTCAAGAAGTGAGCTGTTGGTTCGTCTGATTCTTTCTCTCGGCAACCATGTTTGTAGACGTTTGTTTGAACATTTTTGTTCAGTGACATCCTCGCTCCCCACCCCACCCCCCCCCAATATATTACATAATGTTTTCTTAACCTTAAAAGTTACACTTCATAACTTGATTAGTCAGAGTGTTTGACTATGATGGTGTTGTTGTGTGATTAGTCGTCATGCTTATACTTTCATGGCAGCCTGCTTAAAACTCGGGCTGCCTATAACCTCCATCACAATAGTGCATAGAATTTTGCTTGACCGCTTTGTTTTGATCTATTGAATTATGAACTCTAGTGGTACTGTCCACTCTCATGAGTATTTAAAATGTTTCTGCTGATTCTCAAGTCTTTACTAAACTTGATAGAAAGCATAATTGTGGGTGGAAACATGTCTCAATACATGAGGTAACTGTTCTTACACTTTTAATACAAACTGTCACTATATGAGAAATAAAATTAACTTTCTGCTTTCTTCGGTCATTCAATTATTTCTGTGTGTTTCAAAATTAACCCCTATACTTTATAAAATTCGCTTTCAACCAAATGTTATACTTTTTTCGGAAGGAGACCAGAAGGAAATATCATAAGGGATTGTTGGTTTGAGCTTGAGGCCGGAGTACCATTTTTCACTTGATCTCCTGTCAGCTACTAATTTACTTGAAGCTCTTGGACGAAAATCAAACATTATTGATATAAGTATAAAACTTGGGCACTGTGGTACAGGATAACTCCATTATAGATAAGATTTTATTTTGATAAATCGCACAGTGTTATACATATTATGTAAAATATTTTTAAAACAATTAGTTCCCTTTATGATTTTAGACAAAGCAATAAGAAGGCGTAATTTGTCTGAATAGTGTAATGGATTTGCGCCCACAACACATTTCGAACAATCTGATCACACACGGACTTGTCATAGGAATATAAATGAAATTAATATATAAAGAGTTAAGAGGTGAGAAAATAGACTTAGGTAAAGTTAAAAGGACATATTGAAGGTCAAAATTTCAATGAAGACTGCTAAACCAAATAACAGAGGTAATAGTACATCTGCTATGGTATCAAAACCAAGTTTACCAAGGAAGGTGGTTTAGTGTGATGACGAATTGTTGCTTTGATCGCATAAAGGTGGTTTAAACTTCCTAATTGTCAGCTAGGGCTTCCACAAACTTTAGGATACGCCCTAAACACATTTAATGGATGGATATGTTTAAAAGATGTGTTAACGTCAATTTTATGTCTTGTTTCTATAATATAATTGGCAATAAAGCATTAGTTCTCCTGTTCTCACCAGTAATGGATTTTGAAGATTCTATTTGTTTTTGGAGCCATTTAGGAACATGCTCTGAAGCCAGCGCTAACTTGCACACACGTACATTCAAATAGGTAAATCCAGTGAGGTGTGACATCACTTTTCACACATTCAAAGGGCTTGGATAGATAAATTGGCTTCACATTCTCAATTATTATGATATTAGCTGCATAAAGTCTTTTTAACCTCAGTGTTCAATCTTTGTCTAGTTATCAAGCTGCTATGATGCCCCGTATAGGGTAGCTTGATGTACACGTCTTTCTTAGGGGCGAGTTGGAGAGTGGGTCTTGGTGTCCCGACTACTTTGTATCTACTGACGAACTTGTCTGGATAATTTTTATCAACCAGAGTTTATGTCAACTTGCTTTCTTCTTCATCAAGTGTGCATATTCGTTGGGTTCTACTGATGAGGCACCTTACTAAGGCCCTTTTTTGATTTTTTTTATTTACAGCTTGATTCCACACTGTAGTTTTGGTACAAGTATGGGATTTTCAGCATGGATATCAGTAGCCCAAATTTTGCAGGCCGACCATAGATATCAGGTGTGAGCCGGCGTGGGCTCGAACCCCCGACCATGTGCATGGTCGGCGAGAGTCCTAACCACTGTGCCACCGACGCACAGGACAGGACAGAAACTGCGATAAATAGAGATGCTATCCTCTCCAGCTAGGTTTTCTATAAATAGATCTTTTTCTATCTTATCAAATTTCACACCATGTTATGTAACATTTTATATTCGCCTACTAATCCTATATTTATGCACCCCTTTCCTACATTTATACTCCTTATGCATTATTCTATACATGACATTAATTGTTTCAGAAACAATTAGTTCCCTTTATGATTTTAGACAAAGCAATAAGAAGGCGTAATTTGTCTGAATAGTGTAATGGATTTGCGCCCACAACACATTTCGAACAATCTGATCACACACGGACTTGTCATAGGAATATAAATGAAATTAATATATAAAGAGTTAAGAGGTGAGAAAATAGACTTAGGTCAAGTTAAAAGGACATATTGAAGGTCAAAATTTCAATGAAGACTGCTAAACCAAATAACAGAGGTAATAGTACATCTGCTATGGTATCAAAACCAAGTTTACCAAGGAAGGTGGTTTAGTGTGATGACGAATTGTTGCTTTGATCGCATAAAGGTGGTTTAAACTTCCTAATTGTCAGCTAGGGCTTCCACAAACTTTAGGATACGCCCCAAACACATTTTCTTGTTAGGTCTAAAAGATATGTTAACGTCAATTTTATGCCATGTCTCTATATTATTTTTCGCAATAGAGGAGGTAGGTCTCCTGTTCTCACCATTTTATGTAATAAACTTCGCTGAAAATTCTGTATGTTATGTAAAAATTGTCCAGAATAAAGCTATCTGTGTATTACCATTATAATTAAGAAAAACTAGCGTTTCGCACGTGGTCCAAACAGTTTAATATTGCAACGGAAAGAATCACTAAGGGATTCTTGAATACTCTAAGTTTATGAATGATTTAAAAGTCTTTCTCCTGATTACAGTAACTAGAGATTCGCTATGAGTATGGATACAAGTGAAAAGAGTTGATGTAAAACCAATTCGTAAGTGTTTTGTAGTGCTTATTTGTTGATTTTCACTTTTCTTTTTAAAGTGAAAGCCTATAGATAACAGATAATTTATACAGTAAGACACTTGAGAAATCTTTCAGACACTGATGAATTCAATTCACAAAATGAATTCCAGTGAAGGTAAAATCTTTAGGCCAACTGGCGTGTTACACAAGACAAAAGAGGAGCATATTAAACCACTTCAAAGTATTTTCTATAGCTAGTAGACTTGAGAGGTTTGATAGACAACATTAGCTAGACAACCATTGGCAACCAGTATAATGGAAAGATTGTCTTTAGAAAATCCTCCCTTAACGATCTAATCACAATACTGATACTTATTTGGACGTTTCAATTAACTTAATTGTTCTCCTTTTTTTCGGACAGACTGTTTATCATTATTTTGCCGTTTGCAAATCACAGTCCAATTAAAATACCCATTACAGTCCTACAGGAGGTCAATTGAGGGCCCGAATAGCTCAGTGGTAACGTCCCTGACTGCAGCACTGGGTGACGTGGGTTTTAATCTCAGAAGGGACATGAGTTCCTTCAAGATTGTAGAAACAGCTTACTGACCGGTGAGTGCCAAGTAGCACGAAACCTAGGTCCAAGGCTTCCTACCGATCACCTCCAACTATCTAATATCATCAAATCAATGTGAACCGTGATGGCGAGCTACCTAGAAGGGTGAGCACATTACAAACCTGACCTTCAACTGTTCACAAGAGGCGTTGGTATGGGATTCTTGGGGACAAAGGTTTTGACCCCACTTAATTGGAAATATTCTACTTAATTCTAAGTGCTTTTTTATACTTAGACTGAACTATATAGTTCCCTAACGGCACTGCTGAGGTGATATTGAGCATTGCTGTTATTACTGTTTAATAGAACCACAAACTGACTGGAGAATGATCGTCTTTTTCCTGACTTTGGAGCGTCTCTTGACTGCTGGTGCCTCAAAAGAGTTTTGCCAGCTATATAGTAGGATGCAGAGATTAGTTTCTTGCATTTAGACCACAACTAGTCTATTTTGGTCTTAACAGTCAGGAAGTGATAGATCTAGCTATGAACTCCTCAAGAATACTCACCTATGACTCCACTAGGGATTGAAGCTAGATTTCTAGGCAAATTTCTCGTTCAGCATTTATTTACCTATCAGTTTGGAATTCTACGACCCCTCATATAGTGTAATCCACACAAATCATTATATCATAAATGTACATTGAAACAAGGAACAATAATTACATTTAACTTACCGTAGACGAAATCTTTCATAAAAACAAATTAATTGAAGATGAATCATAGAATTCTTTTAATGATACATCAGTTGAGAAGGTTTTTTTTGAGGAACTTGTGTAGTTTTAACTGACTTTTTTTGTTTTTGTATACTATTCACCTATTCAATGTTCAATTCAAAATAGTAGATAGATAACCATCAAAAATTACAATCGGATTGAAGAAACACTAATTCACCTTGGTCTAATAATGTCCATCTGTGTCTAATTGTCTAGTTTTACAACAATATGCTCAAAAATGAGATTACATGTGTTAAACACTCACTCTGTAAATGTGTAGGTGTGTTTGTGTGAGTGTATTAGTGCGTCTTCAAAATTTTCATTCACAAGTAGAAAAGTGTTCAAGTGTGTGTGTGTGTGTGTGCTCACTCATACACGTAATGACGTATGTGTTGTACACGTGTGTGTGTGTGTCGTGTACTTGTAATTTAAGTCGGTGAAAATCAATACCAATAGTGATATATATATATATATATGTATATCCGCTTTATTCATGTTCAAAGTTTGCACATTTTTCGATTGAAAACGATATTTAACTGCTTACAACAACAGAAAAAATATCAATAAAAAATAGTATTGAAAATTGACTCTTGTCTGCCTAAAAAACACAGGTTAAATGAGTATGTGTGCTTGCAATGAAGATGTCCTTTGTATCTTGGTCCTTCAGTTTGTGAGTGTTGAACTTGGCTTGTGAGCTGCAGATAGACTTTGGAAAGGCCTTCGACAGCGTCGATCGAGAGGTCATTTGGCAACTATTTCGCTACTACTGGGTGCCGTCGACAATTATACATCTCATCCAACAGTTGTACGACAATGCTGCATGCCAAGTAATCCACAACGGGAAACTTACGGAAGCCTCCAAAGTGAGGACGGGAGTGAGGCAAGGCTGTCTACTATCACTAATGATTTTCCTGATTGCGGTAGACTGGATAACGCGACCGATAACGGACAATGAGGAAACAGGCATAAAATGGACTCACACAATAAACTTGGGGGATCTGGACTTCGCCGATGATATATGTCTGACTTCCCACAAACTGGAAGATATGCAAGTGAAAAGCAACAAGTTGGCAGAAGAAGCATCAAAAATAGACTCCAGGTGAACATAGATAAAACAGATGTGGTGATGAAGATTCCTGGCCAACACCAACAGCAGTAGCAACAACAACAGACAACAATCAGCATAAATGGAAGGATCGTGAAAGAAACAACCTCCTTTATTCACCCACCTGGGAAGCATCGTTTCAACTACAGGCCAACGGAACTGACGAGGATATCAAAGTAAGAATCGGAAAAGCAAGACAAGCTTTCATTACTCTCAAGTCTGTGTGGAGGTCAACAGCACTCAGAATCAAAAATAAGATCCGGATTTTCAACTCCAATGTGAAGTCAGTGCTACTCACTGTACGGATCAGAGACTTGGCGCGTCATAAAGAGCATCTCAAACAAACTCCAGACCGTCATTAACAGTTGTCTTCGCTCAATACTCAACATCAGATGGCTGGCCAGAAATGATCAGCAACAGGGATCTCTGGCAATGAGCGAACCAACCAGGAACCGATTGTGAAACAAATAGACAGGAAGGAATGGAGATGGACTGGCCATACTCTGAGGAAACAAACCATCAAGTGACATCACTAGACAAGCCATCGCTCGAGTGGAACTCGAAAGGGAAGCGGCGAGTTGGTCGTCAGTGCAAGGGTGGCTTGGAGGAGGTCATGTGGGGAGGAGATGAAAGCATGTGGGCAGACTTGGATCCGGGTGAAAAAGTTGGCAGAAAACGGAAAGCAATGGAGACTTGGGCGGCTGAAGCCCTATGTTCCTCTAGGAATTAAAGGATATAATAATAATATTTCACCTTGTTCTCTATATTCCTCTTTGGTTGGCCGCACGATTTTCCATGACCTCTTACCACTTTCACATCACTCTATTGGTTTCCAATCCCGGTTCTACTCGAAGTCCTCCAGGATGACGTTTCTACACGGTCTCCTCAGCGTGTATCCTGTCCATCTCCATTTTCTCCCACATATTTATTGAGCAATAGGCTGCTGACAGGTTTGTTACCAGAGTTCCTTGTTGCTAATTCTTTCTGGCTACTTGATCTTCAGTATGGAAAGAAGGGGCAGCTGTTGATAGAAATCCTCAGTATCCTGTTGGAAATGGTTTTCGTGGCTCGTCAAGAATCAGAACTATACAGAAGAACTGACTTAACAATGGTGTTGAAAATTTGAACTTTGTCCTTCATGCTGATTTCAGGTTGATGAATATCTGCCTTGCGAATCCAATTCTGCTTTTGAAATTCTCATTTCTGTCACCTGTAGTTGAAACAATTTTGCTTAGACAAGTGAAAGAAATGGCTTCGTTCCCCGGCTGATAAATACTGGTGCTTGCTGTTAGTTGTCTGTCTTCATTATGTCCGTCTCCTCTATGTTCACTTGAATTCCTGTCGTCACTGACTGAGTCTTCTTCCAGAATGCCGGCTTTTGAGTTCAGGTCTTCGAGTTTGTGTTACACTAGATTTAGATCATCTGCAAAATCCAGATCTTCTAGAGTCTTCTTGTCTCTCCGAAATATTCCTGTCTTTTCACCCCCCACCACAATCTTTTGCATGATTCTCTTCATCACAATGAAGAATACAATCAGTGATAGTGGGCAGCCTTGTCTTACTGCCCCCTTATCACTATGAGCAGGCCTAATTCTAATCTCCTGAAAGATTTCTCTGTATACTCATAAATACCAAGGAATATAATATAAGAGCTTATGACTTACTGTTGACCACCTTATAAATACTGAAAGCTGATTAAAGGAATGGTCAAAATAAAGTTTATAACCTGTTGGTTTCTTGCTTTCCGAGAACCTCTCCAACTGTCCAAAAGCTTTCATTTCACCATCAAATCATTTTTCTTTGTCATCCATAATGCCCAGCTAGCTTTTTCCCAATCAGTCTGTAGTTGAATGTGTGGCGCCTGATGGCGTCACCTGATAGTTTGTCTGCTCACTGTATTTTCCACCCATCTCAATTTCCTTCTGCATTTTTGCTGTGTAAGAGGTTCTTGGCTGTTTTGTTATCAGAGATCCTTATGGTAGCCTGCTTAAATGACTGGGTTACCCAATTTTTCATCTGTCAAAACGTACATTATTTTTTCTATTTCATGTTGTTTAAATCATCAAGTTACACATCTCTGAATTGCAGTTTCTACTAAAGCCTATTACCGGATAGGATTTAACCTAAAATTATGGGGTTTTCAAAGAAAACGGAGAAGAGGCACAGCAGATCACTAAAGCACTTCAGATGATATATTACTGATTATTAACTCACTTGAATCTCACCTGATTCCCTAGCCGGTCCTTAGCCCGGAAAAATAGGGAAGGTTTCGTGTGAAACTGGCAAACCAACTACAGAAAATCAACCTAATCGCTTCAGTGCACAAAAATATTCGTGGAGAAACCTATTATTCGCTGGAATCGGAGAGATGTTATGAAGCGGGCTGATAAAACCCTTCGGGAAGTCAGTCAACTGATATGTCTTCTTTAGACGGAAGGAGAAATTAGCAAGAGAACATGGAATTATCATGTGTTTGGTCTGGAAAGCCTGCCAAACGGATAAACCGAATTTAGTGGAAATGTCATTGAGTGACATCGCGTGTGAGGCCCTCCAGTGGAACTCGAATGGAAAACTATGAGTTGGGCATCCGAGAGTGATGTAGGGGAGATTGAAGCTTCTAGGGGACCATGAAGTCAGCTGAAGAAGATTGCAGAGGATAGGACAAAACAGAGACGTTCTGTTAATGTCCTATGTTCCAGTCGAAACTCAAGGGAATAATAACAATACACTCTGTGTTTCTACACCCGGATTAAATACCTTAAAATAAACAAGCTGAAAATTCTGCACTATGTACTAAGACACTTTGAGCACTATGTGCACAATACTGTCATTAGAAAGTATTCCATAATCTTTAATTACATTCTTAGTCTCATTCTCTCTTAAGCTGCTTGTGACGCATATTATTTTCGTTAACCTATCAAACTTCCTTAGGCGTAGAGTAAGTAATAAGTATTCATGAAACCAAACACTTTAGAAGCATCATGATAAACAGCGAGTTTAATTTTCAAGTACTGAGTACCGGCAGTTGACACCAAGGTTGATTTCGTCTTGGACAAACATAAATTAGAGAGCTATTCCAGTAGCTAGACAGTCAACGCGCTCAATTCTAGTTCCTAGATTCATTCTTCCGTGAAGTTACTGATTCACACTGATGATGAGTCTTAAATTAGGATGAAGCAAGTGTCCAGTGGTGTGGCGGTTAGGATGCTCGCCAACCATGCACATGGTCCGGGGTTCGATCGCCGGCCGCCAACGCACTCCTATACCTGGCTAAGCCAGAAATAATGCCGGTAAAGAGGAAAGGTTGGGCATGAGGCTAGCAACGCCATCCTGTAAAAATAAACACAGCTACAGAAACTTCAAGCCACTGGCTTGAGGCACTATGTTCCACTGGGGAACGTGAAGGCAAAAGAAGTGTCCAGTGAGCACTGCTTAATTTTCAATAGTTCCCTTACCAATGTTAATTTGTGAAAAATATCCCTTGAGACTTGAATTTATTGTAGAAAATACGATTTTAGGCTAAGCCTTCACTTCAACATACTTTCGATTAATCAGAGTCATGGATTTCCTATGAAATGAATATGTATACATAAATTCGAAGTTGTTTTTCAAAACAGATCAATACACATCGAAGAACCTTTAAGATATGAGAAAAATTGGAGTTATATTTCAGTTACAAACAGTAACAATGTTGGATATCAATTACTCTTGCACATAAATTCACATGAGTATCATTTTTCTTGTGCGTTTTTTTATTTTAAGCAAATTCTATCTAAGAGTTTATTAGTTATATTAGCAAAATGTTACTCAACATTTTGTATTATTCAAATATGCTTTTTGTGAAATATTTTTTGTGTTCCTTCATGTTCCTAGTGGAATACAGGGCTTTCTGTTTAAGGGTTTACGAGTACTGTCTAGTTCTACGCTGAACCAGACACCTTAATAGATTCATTTTGTGTTTCGGATGGACAGAAGTCAGAAAGTGCGTATATTCATCAGTAATCCCCCATCTATCGTTCCATCTATTTGTTGTGACAACCGAAACAGAAAGATCAGTGTTTCATATTCGATTGTTTATCGGACATTTCACACATAGAGTGAAACAGTATTATTATTTACTGGATGACAATCTTTCGGAAACAATTTATTACTGCTCATAATCATATCAACTGAAACAACTCAACTC